TCCGGAGGAACATTTACCATTAATGACGACTTTTTGAGTTCTGTTACTTAAATATGAAGTAATAAGTTTAAGTGCCAAATTTTTTTAACCGTAATGTTGTAGTTTCCTGATTAATGTATCATGATGAACACAATCGAAAGCCTTGGAAAGGTCACAGAAAATTTAGGTATTTTCTGTGACCTTTCCAAGGCTTTCGATGCATCTTGTGAATTCTCCCAGGCATAAAAAATAATTTTTCATAAGCTCAACACCGGCGTCAGACGTCGAGCGACCCCTTGTAAAACAAATTGATTTTTATGAAGTAATTTATTTGTATTCAAAAAAATTAACAATTGATCCAAAATTATTTTTTCAAAAATTTTACTGAGAGTTGGTAGTACAGAAATAGGTCTATAATTAGCGGGCTCCAATGTACTACCAGATTTAAATAAAGTTATTACTTTACTATATTTCATTAAATCAGGAAACACAACAGAATCGATCCAAGTATATTTTTAATACTTGGATCGATTTAATAGCAAGATGAGGTGCAATTAAATCTATTATGGACGCAATCACTGTAACGGAAATCCCCCACAAATCTGCGGTTTTCTTTACATCAATGGTTTTGAAGTATTTTACAATATTATGCGGTAATACTTTTTCAAAACTAAATTCTTTTAAACAGGTATTAACATTCTGTTTAAGTAATGACTCGGCGACAGTTGGAGAAATATTCAATGACTCTGTTGTCAAGATAGGAACATCAGTGAAATATTTCTCAAACACCGCTGCAACTTCTTGATTTGATTTAGTCAATTTATTATTAATTTTTATTTGATAGTTTGAGTTACGAGGTTTCTCTTTACCGGTTTCGCTGTTAATTATACTCCACGTCATTTTAATTTTATTCTTAGCTGTCTTAATTTTGTTACTAATATGTAATGATTTGGCTGTGGAGCAAACTCTTTTAAACATTTTAGAATAATTTTTTACATATTCTTTTACATATCAAATATCAATATTAAACAATAGTTAAAAATATATTTTTTTCATTAATTTTGTGATTAAAATTTTAATTTAATTCAACGACTCCTAATTTCTAATGAGCTCCTTTACCATCAAACTAAAATATACAAAAACAAACAAATTATACATTGAGGTTAAAAATATGTTTTTAATTGTTAAACCAAAACTTAAGTACTCAGAAGGCTTATCTGTTGGTCAGACTGTCTGAATTGCCGAACGGGTAATTTTGCTAGTGACAACACAAGTTTTGAAATGTAGCGGATAATCCTAAAGTAATTACAATTATTATTAATGAATGAAATTAATATGATCAAATGTCCTCCAGACCGTATTTCACAGCGACCAGTGTCGACCGAGAATAGCTATTTTCGCAGTACAGGATTTTATTGCACGAGTGTGTGTGCAACTCGTGTAACTTGTGTCTAGAAAATACTAGCACTCAGAAGCACCAGCCTTCCTGACCCCAGCGGCGGATCTGGTCTATGGCTCCGCCGCCAGCCAAGATTTGGCTGCGGAGGGTAGGGAGAGCGGCGCCTCGCAATACCAACACTCCTTTCCCCCCGCAGCCCCACCACCACCGCATCAATTAACGGTGCGGCCCCGTCAGAGTCGCGGAGGATAGGGCGAGTGGTGCATTGCCGTACCCAACACTTCTCTTCCACCGAGAATCCACCTTGGCTGCAGCAGTAAGGGGAGAGGGCACCCCTCTCGTAGCCCACTCGGAGTGGCTACCTCGGGCGGGCTCTACACCACGGGCCAGCCAAGGGGTTCCTCTTTGTTCACCGCGGGTGACCAAGCCACGGCTACTAAGCCCCCCCCCCCCTCCCCCCGCCACGACATGGCGGGAACCCGTTCGGGAGGGGGGGGTCTAGTATGAGTCCTACAGCCTTGTTATCTTCTTGAACGGTGGTTGTAAAAATCATACCCCGGCAAAATGTTATTATTATGAATTGCAAAATTTTCCTTATTCAATACAACTTAGCGGGACTTGACATTCGCTTGGAAAACATACTTTTTTAGAAGAAGGTTGTATGTATTCTTTTTTAGAATAACGGTGACAAACGAGCACACAGTCCACCTGATGGTAAGCAGCTACTGTGGCCTATAGACATTTACATTTATCCTCGATTAAGTATCAATATGCAGATGCGTTGTCACTCCTGAGAGTACTAAGATGGAATGTATCCAGTATAAAGGATCTTCAGTTCTCTACATCTACCATTAAAATACAGCAGAATTATGTTCCTGTTTTACGATGGTATACTGGTCGAGCAGACTAATTCATGCTACAACCATAATGTAATATAGCTGCAGCTGTAACTCTGTATTTAAAATCATTATCTACTGTCATTATTACAAAATTATACAGGGTTATTTTTCAATAACCGGCCAAATTCGCAGAGAAGGTTAAGAATAAGTAATATAAGCAAATGGTGAAGAAAAATTAATTATAAAAAATCTCAAACATTGTCCTTTTTAATCTTTAAAATTCAAAATGCGTGGTAATGTATTATTTTAACTGATTTTAATGTGCACGCACAAATTCGTAAGGGTCGATCGGTAGGCAAAAACGTTGTTGCCCATAAATCACATGCATTTTGGGATAATCAATACAAATAAATAAAATTGAAGTGCCTGTTTGTAATGTCAAAATAACAGCTGTTAACTAAATGTATATGAAAGTATATACGGTACTTATTACAAAAACACATTTTTTAAATTTTTGTCAGTCTATCTGTTTGTTCCGACTAATCTCCAAAACGGCTAGACCGATTTTGACGGGATTTTCATTGGCACCTAGCTAATATTATTATGAGTAACTTAGGCTACTTATATTTTAGAAAGTCAATAAGGGTTACGCGCAAAGCAATTAAAACCCATAAAATCCAATCGTAATAAATTCCACGCGGGTGAAATTGCAAGGAACAGTTAGTTTCAAATAAAAAGCGGTCTACGTTCAGCTGTGGCTTGCGATGGGCTGTGACATTTAATCAGAAGCACAGAATACATAATAGTACGGGTTTCAGAAGGAACAATAATCAGAAGAACCAAAAGAAACCCAGCGGAACTTTTTTAAAAGTAATAATTTCCAATAATGTATTTCATACAATTAATTTAAGGTGCTATGTCATTAAATGATCATAACGGTTTATCAGCAAAGTATGTTTTTAATTGTTAAAGTAATTTATTTTCTATTAGCACCAAAATCTACTCTTTAGGCTTATCTCTGAGGTCAGACATTTTACTAGATAAGCCATGAGTTTTGTGTTATAGCGGACAATCTTTAAGCAACAAATTTATATCCCTTTGTAAAGACACTCGGATAGAGTTACAATAATAAATTATTGACAATTCTGTATTAAGATGAAAACCGTAAAAGATGTTCATACCAATGTTAAAAAAGTACTTTAGGGTTAGCGAAATGTACAATAATGAAGAACGACGACACAAACATATAAATTAACATTTTAAATGAAAAATAGTGTATATTTTTAAATGTAATAATTGCATGTAATAAATTGAAGACCTTGAACAGAATTATATAAAGGGAACTTAATTTTAATACTGATATATTATCATTTATCACTTCGTGATGAAAAATCAAGAAGATAAATAGTTTCATCTAAGAATAGTATTATAGCTTGATCTAAATGTTGTTCTTTGCGACTTCGATCACTTGTTAAATTAAAACATAGTAGCCTCACAGACTAGTAAATCGTATAGACCACCCGACAAAGACGTTTATGTAACGCAATCGCGCGGAGCGGGAGTGGCTTAATACGGGTAATGCGAGATCGATTTACCCTCGCTACATTATTTTGAGTGACTGTATCATTTACTAGATTGTGGTGGCGTTGTGATACACCAGGATATTGTTGAGTATATTTTCACAAAAAAAAAATCATTTTCAACGGGCATTTTATTGAAGAAGGCTTACGAATTTTTGTGTGTTAGTTTTGCATGAAGAAATGATTATTTCTTAATTAAGAATGATAATTATCATAAAATATGCTGAATGTTACTTTAACCATTTCACTATTCCGTGAGTCATATATAAACATTTCGATTGTTTAACTGTTGTTTTTTTCGCGGACAGGGAAACTGTTAATATAATGTCCTGAAATTTTTACGTGTTACTTGGTGACACTACACAACAAGTTTTTAACCGGACCGAGGTAAACATACATTACGTCTGTGTTTGGATCAGTCTGAACGCAGTAGCTTTATGCTCTTGGGCCTGTATACACAGTTATAATACTCTGCTCTTAGGATCAGTCATTTGCGGCGTGTAAAATTGTGAACGAGCATTATGAGAGTTGCGGTGAGTACATAATGTTTTGAACAGAACCTTTAATAAGTAAATTCAGAGTAATGTCACAGTTTAAAGTATGTAATGTCTTTAAACTGTGGTACTGTGTTGTTTTGCATACATGGAACGCGAAGCGGAGATATAGTGCTCTATTGTCACCAAATCAATAAATAGCGATCCACTTAAATTAAATCACTTCCACCAGCTTTATATTGCACTTGTATAATAAAAAAAAGTACACCAGTAGCAAGACGTGATATCAATTAATACTTCTGACGTAGTTATAAGATTATTTGTTTCGATTATTATTAAAAAAAAAGTTAATTGAAAATAACTTCACTTGGACGTCAGTTGGTCGGTATGGATGTAAAGACATCTTACGAAAAACGAAACTTATCGCTTTGATTTTTTTTATTACCTTTAGATTTTAATCCTTAGGAAGGCTTTTGAATTTGACAATTGTAAACCGTTCCGTTCGAGGTGTGCACTTTTCGATTTTCCATTTTTTTTAATTAATTTGCGTTGTCTGTTTATTTCTTGTTAGTCGTTGTAATAACAGTAAATTATAAATAACCATGGCTCTATCCCGTATAAAGGTGTTACATTTCATTTTTAAATAAATAAACGTGTGTAATGAAATAATGCACTTCGTGGGTCACAGCGATTTTTTTAGATTGTGTTGATGTTCTTGCAGATTTTCTTCCTGATCCTAGCTGTGGTAGCGTGGATGGGTCTTTCATCGCCGATCCATACAAGATACAAACGTGCAGTGGTTTCAGGAAGGTATCGCTACCGTCGGTCACCGATTCAGCAGTACGTGAAGGGACACAAGGCGGACCCTCAAGGTATTTTTATTTATTTATTCTTTATTGCATTCCATAAAACAAAAGAATACAAAGGGTGTATAAAGCCTTGAGGCATTCTTTACCAGTCAACCCATGGAGTGGTGAGAATTAGACATAGGTGTAGCAATATGAAAAAAAAAACAAAAATGATTTACATTGTGAAAATCTCTTCGTAAGAAATTTCATACTCTACCCTTGTACGAACGTAGGTGCATAGCAGATATGATTTAATCTTTTTAAACTGGCGATTGGCACTGTTGTCTGTCCAGAGCTACTCAGTAAGTTATGTTTTACAACAACATTATGTTAAGAAAGCCTCGTTTACTCCGTGTGCCGCAAACAAGGACTAAATATAGGCAAAATTATTTTATGACACGTGCGTGCAGAACTTTTAATGAAGTTTACAGTACCGTTGACTTGTGTATCAATGTTTCTTTCACGAATCAAAAATATTTTATCTTTTGCAGAGTTAATTTATTGTTTCTAAGCTCATATTGTCTTCAGATGAATACTTTTTGATGACCTTGATGGATTGCTATTCATTTTTATTCTAAGTAATGTTAGCTGTAAGTTTATAAAACATATTTAAAGAAATAATTTTTGAATGCCTACTTGATCTAGTGGTCGTAAACCATCGATATATAATATGTACTACGTACTAGATTGCGCATTCCGAACATACACTATGTTCAACTGAACTGTACTGCGATCCGTACAGTGTGTCATTTAGTGTGGTTTCAATCTACTAGTTACTCTGTGGTTTCAATATTCAAGCAGTGTGGAGCGGCGCTAATAATACAAGATTTCAAATTAAAGTTTAAACCTGAACGTAAATAACAATTCCGTAGTCAAGTAAGTAAAATTATTTGTTGTTCAAGTGAATAAATAGGTAATAATATCGTAATATTACAAAAGAAAAAATCATGAAAAAATATATTTCTTTATATAAACTGACCGCGCAGGCGCAACGCGCTTAAATCAACTGCGCATGCGCGACTTTACTATAATACCCTTTTTTATAATTCCCGCGTATGCGCGAAGACATAGAATAGTGCACATTTTTTGTTTAGAAAGGGTTCTCTAGTACGTAATACATATAACTTTAACAGTTCTTCTCCAGTTAAATGTCGACGTTGCATTGCAATAAAATGTCAAATTATCTCAATCAACCCAAGTTGAATCAAAGAGATGTTTAAATGGTGGTTTTCAACAAAAAAAAAAAAATAACAATTACTCGGAGTTACAAGTGGTAAAGTTAAAAACTTACAGTACAACCGACTTCAATATATATATAAACTAATTTATTGTTGATTTTTTAAAACCGCTCGACCAATTTAAATGGGACCACCATTTTGTACCCTTCGATACAAAAAAAAAAAGAATTTTTCAAATCAGTTCGAGCGTCTTCGATTAATCGGTTAACATACATTAAAAACATATTCCGACTAGTTGTAAGCCTCCTCCTTGTTGAAGTCAAGACATTTTTTTAAAATTTGGAATCAATCAAGAATAAATGACGAACAATTTGATATTAAAAACATTTTAAAGTGGCCATTACTTTTTAGTTGGCGGCACTTAAAATAGCAATTAACAATTTCATTGCTTTGAATCGAACCCGGGTTGCTCGCGTATTGTGAAACTTACAGCGAGCGCTAACCATCTGAGCTACCACGGCAATCCTTACTCTTATATAAAATCACGCTTTTATATTACAGCTGGCTCAGCACCGTCTTCACTGGAGATGAAAGTGAAGAAAGGCGAGTATGTCTGCGGCGACAAGATCTGCAAATTGAAGCCCGGGGAGATACCCAAGGGCTGTAATGGAATTTGTCAGTACCCGATATGAAACATTAAAAATATAGCATTATTGTAGTTATTTTATTAATCCTATATCAACATACGAGACATATTTTAATTTTCCGGATTTTATCGCTATGTAGCGATATATATTGATTATGTAATAATATAATGATTATGTAATATAATGATTATGTAATCATTATATTCTATTTTGTTTGCAATCGCGTGTTCTAACAGTTATAGTATTGCAATTTCGATGTTCTATAATATCGTGTTTACACGCACATAGCAATAAGCTTGACTTGCACCCGCAATATAATAAAAATAATAATAATAAGTCCCCTAAAATCCTACCTTACGTCCAAACTGAACACCTAGCTTCGTGGGGGGGGGGGGGGGGGGGAGACCAGCGTACTGTACAACAGTACAAAAAACTTACGCGGGTAACAAGCAAATGTAACCCTTTATGGAGATGAGTAATAAGATAGAACGCACAGACGATGGACACCTGAAATGAATAAGTTCATACTGCGCACTTACCTTCAATTGACTGCACTAGATATATACAGAAAATATTGTCAAGAACAGCTTCACATAAAATTTATAGTGAAATTTACGAACCTGCAGGTTAGTCGACAGAGAATAGGAGACCAACGTAAAGCCATAATAAACAATTAACTACTTCCACAAATAACTATTGGCCGTGTAGTCGTGGTTAAGAATATCCACTACCCCATATCTTCCCGTGGGTGTCGTAAAAGGCGACAGTGGGAAACAGGCAGGAGATGGGCCGCATCATCTTCCTGATAATAGAAATATCACAATAAACAAAAACATAACGAAAAAAGTAACGAAAAGACGGCCCCCAGTCTCCGGCGGCCCCGCTATTTCTGGCTACGGTGGCGACCATGGTAACGGCGGGGCAGAGGATGCTAAGAATCTCCGATGGAGGTTCGGTTGCCACCTGCGACGACTCGACCTGGCAACTTATAACGCACGCACCCTGAGGACTAACGAGAAGATCCTCGAGCTAGAAGAAAAGATAGACAATTTGTGCTGGAATCCCCCTTTCTTCGGACCTCGGATTATCCGAGCTCCAAAGAGAGGGGGAGGACACAGTAATCTTAGAATCCGGCAACCTGTTTTATCACCGGGAGGGCGACCATCTGTCCCAAGGAGGTGTCGGATTTATCGTCCACAAGTCTCTCGTTAACAACGTTGTAAAGTCTGGGAGTGTGTCGACGAGGGTTGCGTACCTTATACTCAGAATCACCAAACGGTATTCGCTGAAGGTCATACAGGTTTACGCACCAACCTCAGCATACTCCGATGAGGAGGTGGAGGAAATATATGAGGATATCTCCAGAGCCATGCATTCCTCCAAAACCCACTATACGGTGTTAACCTTCAATGCAAAACTAAGCACAAGAGAGAACGGTGAGCTGAAAGTAGGGAAATTCGGAAAAGGGCAACGGAACCCAAGGGGCCAGCAGCTGTCCGACTTCATGGAGAAAGAGGGACTCTTTATGATGAACTCTTTCTTCCAGAAGCGGCCCCACAGGAAGTGGACCTGGTCGAGCCCCGACGGTTCGATAAAAATGAGATTGACTTCATTATGACGACCAGACAAGAACTGTTCAGTGATGTCTCACTGATCGCGAGGGTGAAAACTGGTAGCGATCACCGAATGGTTAGAGGCACACTGAACCTTAACGTAAAGTTGGAGAGGTCTAGTCTAATGAAGTCAACGCTCCGTCCCGCTCGTGGTCTAGTGCAAAGTCCCGAAACCTTTCAGCTCGAGTTTAAAACCGTTTTCAGTGCCTGGAAGACTGCTATAAAGTGGACGATATAATGTAAGCTCGTGGAAACTGTCCATGCGGTCGGAGCTAAGTTCTGCAAGACCCGCCGCAGAAGAACACTAAAACTCTCCGATAACACTCTTAATTTCATGGCTGTTAGACGGGAAATGAAGCTGCAGTCTTCAACAGATTTTAAAGCATACGCGCAACTGAACAGACAGATCTCCAAACATGCAGTGGCGGGATAATGTCTCCCAACGGATAGGTTTTAAGATGAACATGGACAACACAAATATCATGTTTAATGTCCATGTCACACCTATGCCGGTAGTTGTTGGGAGCACTAAGCTCGATGTTGTTGACGAGTATGTTTACCTGGGGCAAATAGTCCGACTACGTAAGTCCAACTTCGACCGAGAGGTCAATCGACGGATTCAACTCGGTTGGGCAGCGTTCGGGAAATTACGGCACATCTTCTCGTCAGGTTTACCTCAAAACTTGAAAACGAGTCTGTACAACCAGTGCGTGTTGCCAATGATGACCTATGGATCTGAGACGTGGTCCTTCACTACTGGCCGGATGAGAAAGCTCAAGGTTGCTCAGCGAGCTATGGAGAGGGCTATGCTCGGAGTTTCTCTGCGTGATAAACTTAGAAATGAGGATATCCGCAGTAGAACGAGAGTGACCGACTTAGCCCAACGGATCAGTAAGCTCAAGTGGCAATGGGCCGGCCATATAGCTCGAAGAATAGACAACCGATGGGGAAAAAAGTTCTCGAGTGACGGCCTCGTACCGGCGGACAAAGTGTAGGGCGACCTGGTAAGATATGCAGGAAGTCGATGGATGCAGGTGGCTTAAGACCGTGTTTTGTGGCATTCCTTGGGGGAGGCCAATTTTCAGCAGTGGACTTGTGAAGAGCTGTAATGATAATGATCATGATGATGACAAAAAACTATAAAGGAGATACGAACCGACGTAAAAGAAGAGTTAGTTACAATTCAATCATTCGACCCAACAATCACAAAACTCTATCGACCATGTACAATAAATACTTACACCCACACAATCTACCCAAATGCAACTTAGAACCAGAAACACATAGTACTAAAAATAGAATGCAGACCCGAATGAGATGGACCAGTGAACTAAATGAAGCTATAATGGGGTCTTATTATCGAGTTACAGATTTAGGCAGAAACGATACAGTATATAGAAGAAGCATGTATGAAGATTTCCGGCACTTGCTCATCTTAACTAACAACAAATAGCTAATCAGAGGAGAGCAATTGGAAACAATAATTATGTCACTAGTGACAGATTAAATTCATTAAAACTAGAAGTATCTGAAGAATTACGTCTAGATAATCTTAACTTTACTAACTTTACAAGCCAAACCACCCTAGCAAACCCAAATCACAACAGTAATTCTGAAACTCAATTTACAAACAGCATTGGCATCAGCTCCACACAAGAACCTTCACTTACTTCAAATCATACTGAAATCAACATTGCGGGAGAAATACAACCTAACCCACAGGTGAACCTCAATAGGGATCTACTAATAGATGAGACGTTTCAACAAGCATTCCAATATTATAAAGAAACTAGCTGTACACGCCCCTAGCTGCCCCAACAAAGGTTGACGGGACTAGGGCCCATGAGTAATCCCATCGACGGGCAGCAGAGGGACGGGGCCACGTGGCCACATGGAATTTCCTATCACAATAAACTATATGGGAGAAAGCTAGAAACACATAGTACTTACCATTATCCGAAGCTAACTTCGCACCAAGGCTTGGGCAGGCCGTGAGTGTCTGTAATAGTGGATGGCGAGTAGTGTACAGTGAGGTGTGAATGTGTGGGGCCTTGGCAAGCATAGGCGACCAGCAGCGGCCGAGTTCCAGGCTGCTCCAAAATGCTGCATCGCTTCAGACTGCTTCGGCGCCGGACCACTTCTTTCTTCACTGTCACTGATTCAGTCTCTTAGCTTCATTGTACATTTAACTAACTTCAATTCGCCTAATTCTACACTCATCGCAGAATCGAACACGTGATATCCGACACGGCAAGGACAATAGAACAAAATTTGACATTGAATGTCCCGGATTCACTTATCACAAATTATAAATTCGGCACCAGAATAACACGTCGCGCCAGAGTCAAAATACGCCTCGTTGACACGCAAATTAATCTAAAAAAGATGCACAATTACTTTCAAAGAATTTACTTAAACCGTAAAACCCCATAAAGGCCTCTGGTACGGGAACATAAACCCTAGACCACCAAATCCGAGGCGGATTTCGCGAAACCCAATTACGTAGCGAAGCCGCGCCCAAACCCAAATTCTAGACCCTAATCACTCACAACCGGTCTCGCGCAACTTCCGCAGCGGTAGCCGAAACATTCGGCCTTACCGGATCGCTGCTCCCAAGCTACTTGTCACCTACTGTCTCGGCCCAACCGCCAAGACGCTGGGAAGCTCCCTTCCGCTGCCCCCTCTCCGACACACGCGTGACACCTGGTACGATCGGGCGATTGGCAAAGTGGAACGTGATTGGGTAACGTCCTAACATAACCAAATTTGGGCATAAACACTAGCCCTACAAAAATAATTTTTATTCCCAAACAAAATCTTTCTAAAAAACTTGCCCGTATAGTTACCTATCTAAACAAAATAATTTTACCTGAAAACGTCAATAAAGAGACTGACTTCTATACCTTACAGACTACTATATATTGTGCGGCATGGACTGCGGAAAAAGTTAACGGAGCAAAGATAATTCTTCAACCAAGAGAAGTCACTCAAAGGGCAAAAAAAGAATATAAACCTAAATGGGAGACACGATTAGAACGAAAATTAAATGGTTTGCGATCAAAGATAGCACAAATAACACAATTCATCAATGGCAATAGAAGTATTAAAATAATTAAAGATCCTAGAACAATATAGAATCCACACTGTTCATGAAGAACCAAATACACAAGCAGCTCACACATTAGACACGCTTAAACAAAAACTGTTAGTCGTAACAGGCCAACTACAACGATAGAAAGCATATGCCCAAAGAAAACTACAAAACACTCAATTCACCCACAATGAAAAATTTTCTACAGCAATATTAGACAGGCGACATCTAACGTTCAGGATAACAACCCAAATGATGATGATCATACAGGAACAGAAACTTTTTTATTCAATATAGATTATAAATAATACTTATTGAAAGTCACTCTTTTGTTTGATTGC